TTTATAATGACCTTCCTAAAGTATATAAAGAATTTTCATTACCTGTCTTCCGACAAAAACTTAAAACATTATTACTCAACCCTCCAAACATATAATTTACGTAATCATTCATTTCTTTTTTATTCCATCTTTAATTCAGATTAATAATTTTTTGGTGAATTTTGGTTTGGAAAGTATGCCTTTTTCTCTTTTTTTTTTAAATTTCACTTTCGATGTAATGAACCAAATCTGTTTGTGGATAGTGTATTCTTTTGAACATCTGCTAGAGACTATATGGTTAAGTGTAAGAGTAGCAGCATGCTAAACTTCGCAATGTAAGTCTGACATTTGGCTGTACTACAATGTAATTGTGGATAAATAAAGACGTCTATTATTATTATTAATATTGTCAGATGCAGCAGCGCCCACTGAAGCACCGCTGCAGTACAAGAAGAAAAATCAAGCAGACTGTAACGCCGGGCGCTGAGTCCAGATAACAGTAGGAGACGCGTTTAGAAAACATTTCGCTATAATCATATCAAGTTTTAGAGACAAATGTAAAGGAAAACCTGTGATTGTAAGATATAGCTAAGATATGCTTTTGAATAAATTGACAAAAAAATAGATATACCCTACCACTCCCTCCAACTCCCTACCCTCTAATATTTTAACCCCTGAAGTTCTTGTTCAAAAATGATCAAGATCCTCTGAAACGTCAAAAGACGATCATCTATTTTCAAAAACTACAAATCATTTATGTCCTTGGAATAATCGTGACATTCTAAGAAAGTTTCATCAAAATCACAACTGTACCTTCCAAGTTATGAAGGGGTCAAGGATGAGCTGATAGACCGACCAACAAACAGGCAGCCAAGCCGACCGGAATGAGCGACATGGAATTTCGTGGTCTATATACCATATAACATTATATATATATACATATATAAATATACATAAAGAGAAAATGATCATGCGGAGAAAGGTAACAAAAAATAGGAAAATAATGGGCAAAATCCGCAAAAAGAAGGAAAGTGTATTCGAGCAGAAAATAGGATAGGTAACCCGAGCGATACGTATTTCTGCTGGTTGGCTTCATCAGGCCCGGAATGAATGCACATATGTAACTACAAAAGTTGACACACATGCCCATACATCCGGATACAGGTGTAACCTGAGGAAACGAAGATGGAAAGCGAAATAATCACGCACGAAGTCCACAACAAGAGCCAACCTACGCATTGTAGTATAACATGGCTAGAAGACCTCCTCGAATTTTCAAGGAGACATCTAACCACAACCACGCGGCCGGTTATAGCTACTTGCTGTGGTACTTCAAGCCCAAAGGATCTACCTATCCTATTGTCTGCTCTAATACACTTTCCTTATTTTTGCGGATTTTGCCCATTATTTTCCTATTTTTTGTTATATACCTTTCTCCGCATGATCATTTTCTCTTTGTAGATCCTTTGGGCTTGAAGTACCACAGCAAGTGGCTATAACCGGCCGCGTGGTTGTGGTTAGATGTCTCCTTGAAAATTCGAGGTCTTTTAGCCGTTTTATACTACAATGTGTAGATTGGCTCTTGTTGTGGACTTCTACAAAGAGCAAATGATCATGCGGAGAAAGGTATATAACAAAGTGAGAAAATAACGGGCAAAATCCGCAAAAAGGAGCAAAGCGGATTCGAGCAGAAAATAGGATAGGTAACCCGAGCGAATTCGAGGTCTTCCAGCTATTTTATACTACAATGTATAGGTTGGCTCTTGTTGCGGACTTCGTGTGTCGTTTCTTCCCCTCTCCATCCTTGTTTCCTCAGGTTCCACCCGTACCCGGATGTGTGGGCATGTGTATCTACTTTTACAGTTTCATATGTGCATTCATTTCAGGCCTGATGAAGCCCACCAGCAGAAATACGTATTACTCTGGTTACCTATCCTATTTTCTGCTCGAATCCACTTTCCTCCTTTTTGCGGATTTTGCCTTTTGCATTATTTTCTCACTTTTTGTTATATACCTTTCTCCGCATGATCATGTTCTCTCTATATATATTATTCTCAAAAAATACTAATAATTAAAATTTTGCGGAAAGTATTGGCAATTGTTTATTAAATTTTCTTTTTGATGTTCCACTACATAAGCTACCTTTCGCTTCGCTTCTGTCAGATTTAGTGTGATGCAGCTCTTGAAAATATATGAGTTAATAATGTTTGCCATTTTTTTGCAATAATAAACTAACCGCTGCAGCAAATTGAACATATAAGTCCCCATTTTGAAGATATTTTCATTGCCTGTAAACCTTTTGTGGGCGATTTTCTTCAGGGCCCCTGTGAGTTTTTTAATATATGTGAACTTTTTTGCTTAATAAAGAAGTAAAAATCTTTCACTTCTAGAAATTTCAAGAATATGACTTTCCGTAAAACCAATTATTAGAATTTTTCTAGAATCCTAGATATACTAGCCTATTATTTCATGACACATTAGTAAGAAACCGTTTATCCTGAACTTACTTACAATGCTTGGCACATATTGTAGAAAACTTATCCACCAGAGCTGTAACAAAGGAAATACAATTATAAAGTTGACTTGTTGCAATAACAAGGTGATGAATTAAATAGCGTGTTGTGACTACCCATATTCTCACAACTAATGACAGCGGTTCTGGTTAATAGGTTTAAGGTTTAGCATGCCATGGTTTATACAATAATGTGCTTTTAATGTACCAGCAACCTGCATAAACTGATAATAGCTAAACCCTAACGCCCTTATTCTGAACAAGCTCTTAGGCATAAATCCAGCGCAATAACAAATAAGGTATATTTCATTTCAGCATTCTGCTTGCAATTCCACTATGCTTTCTACTCCATGTAAAAGCTGATTCATTGATATTTGATAAGCAAAAATGCTAATTTCGGCTGCTTAAGAGGATTCTCCGGCAATTAAAAAAGTTAATTTACTTTTATGTAGCACATGTGATGGAATATAAATTATACGTTTAGTTAAAATACATAAACTTCATTTTTAATTTTTGATACCGTACACTTTCGCTCATGTATACTGAATATGAATCGCTTTTTTCTTGAGAAGTCAGCTGTACCATATATGCAAAATTCGAAATTGAACCCTCACAATGTATTTGACTGTGATGAAGTGAGAGACAACGAAACTTGATTGGTCGACTGTGATCTATATGTGGTCACGAGTAACAAGGGATACATTAGAATGCAGATACCCTGTTCACCAAGTGATTAACTAATCTACTGTTACTACCAACTAAGTAAAATCTTATCGATGATTTCGTATTGAATCCTACATTCGATCAAGTAGATGAAAGAGCGTTGTAGTGGAGTGATTTAAACCTCGGAACCTGGTTCCAATACATAGATTTTTGCGATTCTTAGTGAAATATGTATAAAATACAGTATAAAAAATATTCATTGATTTTGAAGTTTTTTAATTCCTTTCCAGGTTCACCTGAGGTTTCATCAAACTGAACTAAGGAGTTCATATGCTCTCATAATACATATTTTACGGCTTCATTACTGAGATACATGGTGTTCAAGTTCATTTTCTCTAATACTGATATTTCTGATCTCTTTAAAGTTGGCAAGCACTATTTCTAGTGCAAAGTGAGAAGTTCCGATAAGCCCTAGTCTTAAAATGTTGCGTTACCAATGTGACAGACTGAATAAGGACAAAACATGAATATTCTTCATATAACGCTATGATGAAATAGGAGTACTCTTCTACTACACTACAAACAGATCTTAATTTAAGCGTATTTTAGAAATATTTATTTGATGGATGAAAGGATCCCACTAGCGGTAACCAATCAAGAATTTACGTATTTTTTGGATTGTCATGTCAAACTGAAAGTGCTTGTTACTCCTAACGTGCGTATCTGGTTTATTATACGGGGTGTTTCAGAACTAAATGTTTTCTACTGTTACACTGAATAACCCCTACAAGTTTGATCCCTTAGTTCTGAAACACCCTGTACATATATTGGCTACTTGGAAATTTAATTAGACCTCCTTAAATAACAATTATTATACCATACGGATTTTACCTCGAACATTCAAATTAATTTTTTACCAAAACCAGTAGTCTGACCAAGATTTCCAGGGAGAGGTGACTCGTGTAAAACTAAATACCTTGTTCAAAAATGCAATAGATCTTTCTATGTGCGCTAGTAGAATATCACCTAACTGATGGAAACATTTTTTGACGATCTGTATATAAGACGCTAATAGAATTGGTTGAGAAACCATAAAAATCTATTTTGAAAGTAATCCATCTGAAACGGAAATTCTTAACGTACAAAAATTATATATATAAAGCATAATTATGGATCAACATGAAAGTAAACGTTATATATTATACAAGAACTATGGTTGTAATACTACAAACAAGAGCTCTCAATTTACTTCTCTTAACCCAAAGAGTTATTATGCTAAGATCATTCATCTCCACTATTATATTAAAATATAGTAGCAAGAATTTTTTGAAAAATGTGATATATAATATGATATAACAATATGCTCACACAGAAACTGGAAGGCTGGTTAAGAGAAATTCTAAATCATAATATATAACATATATGTATACACCCGTTTACCCGTTTTGAGAAAAGTAACCTGTAGGTATTCTAATAATAATGAGACTGAAATTCATGATACAGGACGCTGTATAACATATACATATATTAAATATTCATTTTGTGAACCAACATTTATTTTCATTTGACGTACTTACGCAACCTTTTTTCACGCGCAATAATATCCTTTGTGTATTTAAACTTATTCACGATATTGTAAATTAATGTGGTTGACTTATTATTGTTTCCAAAAATATAGGGTCATATTAAACTTATAAATGAAGAATCATGATACAACATGTTCTAAAGCATACTTTTCTCTAGATTAGTAGTACTTAGACATCACGATATATAACTGTCTCGGTGTAATATTTGTTAGTTCTATGCTGATTTATAATGAATAGTTATGCTAATATATTCTTATTTTTACAGATTCACAAGCGGATGACATTACAAGAAATCAAAAACACATTTCACGTAGATACACATGATTTAGGTAAGTGGCAGTTTACTTAAATCTTGTATGGCTATAAATTACCTGGTAGTTAAGGCACTAAGATGCTATGGTCATTTCTATTCAATGCCAAAACATCAGGGCAATTGAAACGCGAATAACGAATCCTCAAGAAGCATGTGGAGGTGTAAGCTCCTGAAAATATTTTTTGATGCTTGGTTTTGGATCTACAGCGAACGTCCCAAATGCTCTAATTATGTGGAATTGAATGCACTGTGATTTTTTCTATAGTAAATTCTGTGTCTTGTGGCGTCTGCTGTGGCCTGGTAATGGTGGAAATATTTCGCAATAATCATTTTTCAGATCAAAAGAGAATCGTCTGAAATTCAAATTGTTCCTAACATCAAATCAACTACGAGCCCCTTCCCACTCCAGTTGGCCCACTTCAAGATTTGTACCAAAATATGCCTTTATAAACTAAACATGACGAAACTATTTACTTCTAAAACAATTTATTTTCTCAAAAACATTTTAGATAACATAAGATGAGTCGTAAAAAATACATATTTGAAATCACTTAGACCTATGACTAATAGAACGTCTAAACAAATAAACAATGTGCGAATAAATGCGCGAAGTTAACAAAGCAACAATTGAAAGATTACCATTGGCTAACATAACCTTTATTTTTTATCACGGCTAAAATTCTTTGGGGCATAGTGTTAACCAAGTTTTGGCAAAAATTCGGTGTAAAACAATCCCATATTCCTTGAAGCTTTTGTCTCATTTCGGTGATTGTACGAGCAGGATGTTGTCGTAGAACTTTTTTCATCTCGTGCCACAAAGTGTCAATAGGTGACAGATCTGGACTGCTAGAAACCCATTTCAAAAGTGGTACATTATTTTCTTCTGTCCATTTTATAGCCTTTTTTGAGGTATGGCACGCTGCACCATCTTGCTGAAACACAAAATCTTGGCCGGATGTCAAACATTCTTCCATCACTGGTAAAAGCGATTCTTCTAAAATTGCCAAATATTTGTTTGTATCCACATTTCCATCAATAAAATGAAGCTGCTGGAAATTTCACTTTTCTCCTCAGACAGTGAACATGGAATGCTTCATCTTTTTGTGAATAACTCTACTGCGACTGTTACCAACACAAACTTCGAATCGGGCCTCATCACTCCATTGTATTGCACACCACTGTTGAGGTATCCATTGTCTATGTTCTTTAGCCCATCTAAGCCGATTTTTCTTTTGCAGTGGAGTTAATAGTGGCTTTTTTCTGGCCTATAAACAAGTTGTGCAACTTTAGGGTTTTTACTTCACTTTTTTTTATAAGAAAACTTACCTTGCAAGTGCTAAATCCCAGTTTGTGGGCCACCTCGAAACTCTCCTTCCAACAGCGTCACTCCACAGAACACTTAATTGTAAATAATTGGCACGCCTGTTTTTCACGAGTAATCTTCTTAATGCTCTTCGGTCGGCATTTGTGATATTACTTTTTTCACATATCGTGGCTTAATATTAAGTGAACCAGCTACGTTATATCTTCTAACAATATTTCTCCCACTGTACCGCGATAAGTCTGACAAAGTTGCAATTTCTGAGTTTGATTTCCCAGAATTAAAAAATTTAATTATCAGTAACCGAATTTTCTCACTAATAACCTTTCCTCTACCCATTTTGAAAACCTTAACTACACAAAACTATTTTAAACGTATTCTGACAGCTGTGATTAATAAAAACAATTGTCATGGCTTTTATTTTTCACAACCACCTATGCGTTATAGACTTATTTTGCATTGAAATGAAAATAGGTTGATATGCTGTAATTGCAACAGGTGTTATTTTTATGTTGCAAATTTGATTAGGGAGTGATAAAGTTGGTGTTTTCTACTATATATATTATCAAAATATTCATTCTTAATATTTTAAACCTATAACACCCTGCTACATTTTTATTATTTGTGGTTGATAAGAAAAAAACTAAGATTTCAATAGTTGGGCCAACTGAAGTGGGAAGGGGCTCGTAAATGTCTATTATTGTCATTCATATTCGATTATTTTTATATTGCGGTTCTGAAGTAGTTCATTGTAAAGCTTGAGCGAAGCTCTTGAATAAATTTTGAACAATGCCTGATATTTCATCGATGACAATAGTGAGGTTGATGGAAATATGGTGAAACAAGCTGAATGGTCATAAAGATTCTGCCCAAAAGTTTCTTAGATAATATATGGAACTTAATGACTCTTAAAGACGATGAAGTTTTCATCTTGAGGGCTTCCGTAGTGTCCTGCAATGAACGTTTGATTCGTTGAGTTCGACAAGAGTGGTTCATTACACACATTTTTCTACAACGCTTAAAATAATAATGTAACACCTGGATCAAACGAAACCACATATGCGTGAATACACCTAGTTTGACGCTTCGGAAACCACCCTGGCCTTTTTCAAAGTGCAACTGTTAATGACAATATGTTTTATTGACGTTATATGTATTTAATTAAATGTATTGCTATTGTCACCTATACTTTGAAACAGGCCGCCGTGGTTGCCAATATGTCGATAAAGAAGTAATTCACACATGTGTGGTTTCATTTCGCCAGAGGAAACATGGAGCGCTGAAAATAATGTTCAGAATTTCCACCTACCTCTTTGTATGAAGGGAAGGTATAAATTCATGTATCAACAGGCAAAAGCAAAAGAAGTTGATAAATGATGGATCACTCATTCTTATGTCAACCTAACGCAAATGAAGTATAACACACTACGGCCCACCATGAAGGCAGGAATGGCGGCAATGTAGACAACAATATCAAGTTGACACACTAATTCGGCTGTGACTGCACTTTAGTGGTGCTGCTGCGGCGATGTTTGTAATTATCAATCTTATTGACTGGCCTAATTGGCACTCAGTTAACCACCTAGCGACCTTATCCCACTTTTCTTCGTACTGCTAAAGTACTACCGGATGCCATTTCTTTTTGCCGCCTTTACGTGGCAATTGCTGGCGACTCGTGTAAACTGTCGTAATCTACGCTAAAAACCTTGCGCAAAGCCGTCTTATTAGAGAGAATTAACATTATATGTAATTGATGGTATGAGCAGCTTGATTTGATAGGATTAAATAGAAAAGAATATTCATACAGTATTTGGAAGATAAATCCATGCATATGAAATGACATAGGTATGGTACTGCCGACAGTACAGTTCATTTTCGGCTTTTTTTAATTTTTGACGCCAGTACATTTCATTCATGATTACAGCTATAAGATATAGCATTGTTCACGTTAGTTCAAAAAAAAAATTTTATTTTTTTGACTGTCAAATATTTCATATTAATCATATCAGAGCAAAAAAGCAGTTGTCAAAGTATACGGCTCTTATTCTCTGTCTTACTTACTGCCTTTTTACCATTTTTGACATATACAGGGTTATCCAAATTAAGTGTCCACCATTAGTAACTTTGTTATTAGTGAAAATACAAAGTTGTTTGAATTAGCAAACTAGTAGCATTTTTAACGCTGGTAAAAATGAGAAATAAAAAAAAACAATTGAGAGTCGTTATTTTGATTTTTTTCAGTAAAATAACATTTTTTTAAATGGAAACCCCTGTATATTATATTTTTTTCTGTTAAAGCATCAAATTTTAAACAAAAAAGCTTACAATAACTTTTCTCCTAGGTTACAAATTGTTGAAGTTATGGCCTCCAATCTGAAACAATTAAATTGTATCGACAAACTTTATTTTCAACATCAACTTATAATCTTACAAAATACAATAACAATTTTTTTTAAAGAAGATGCTCGAAAACACCACCTTGTTCTTCAATACATTTTTGGGCACGTTTTTCAACTGCTCGAACTGTCTTAAGTATGGTCCTACCATCTATCTGGGTTACCTTACCATAACTGAAATTAGAGTCCTTGAGAATATCTGCTATTGAATTCTCACGATAAGCTTCAAAATATCCAATAACTGCAATTTCCGTGGCCTCGCTTATTATGAACTCTTTTTTTGCCCTTGTTTTAGCAAAAACATTTTCGCTGCCCCTAAATTTTCGATAAAGTCTCAGAAAATATCGTTCATACGGTTGAATGCGAGCGGGATATAATTCACTGTAGTATTCTCTTGCTCTCAAGGAGGATTTTCTGCACACTAAATAGCATTCTAACATATCACACTTTTCTTCATGGGAGAACATTTTTCTTTAAATTAATGACACTAAAAGCTTATAAACAAGTATTTACACTAATGTTTGACATTATTTGATTTTATCATTGTTTTCCAAAGCCTTCTAGTTGCGAGTATGTCCAGTTTAACAATTTGTCGCTTATCTTAATGCTGTCAAATCGCGAACGCCATGTTGTTTTCATAGCCGTCTTAATATTATAATACTGCAAATAATTAAAAATATTTATCGTTATTTTGACTTTATTTTTGACTTTAGCGGAAAAGTCATTATGAACTTTTTTGTTTAAAATTTAATGCTTTAACAGAAAAAAATATAATATACAGGGGTTTCCATTTAAAAAAATGTTATTTTACTGAAAAAAATCAAAATAACGACTCTCAATTGTTTTTTTTTATTTCTCATTTTTACCAGCGTTAAAAATGCTACTAGTTTGCTAATTCAAACAACTTTGTATTTTCACTAATAACAAAGTTACTAATGGTGGACACTTAATTTGGATAACCCTGTATATATATATATATATATATATATGTTAACGTATTTATTATTTGTGAATAAGTATTTTTCTAAGGAATAATTTTAAAAATATTTTTGTTCAACTTTACAATTATTAAATGTATATATAATAATTAAATTGAATTATTAGATATTGAAGAGATTTACTTTAGTGATATTTTATGAGTTTCAATATGAATAAATTATGTAAAAAGAAAAAATATTATAGATATATTATGAAAACTAGGAAAAAGGCAGTAAATTTGTTTTTGCATAGTATAAAAGTAGTAAATCACATGTTACTGCATTTTTATTTACAATTGAACACGGAATGACATTTATTTTA